TGTAGCTTTAGGTAGTAGTAACACTTCCTTCAGCAAAAAGCAAATAGATCCGCACGGCAAGAGAGCACGATGCGGACTGTGAAAACACATATTTTATTTTATTTTAGGTCTTCACTATGTTCAACAAAGTTAATTGGTATACTAAAATACACATCTTTCCAGAACATACTTTTTTATAGTATGAGTTATTGATACATTTTTTTTTTCTATTTTCGTCACATTTTGAACTTTTGTATCTTTCTTAGGTGCAAGAAGGTGCAGATGTGGTCAAATTCATCTAAAAGTGCATTAAAATAGCTTTCAAATGGTCGTAAACTTGTCCGACCACGACCGTCTGCTGGGGGAGTTGTGATCAAAACAAACACCCGTTGATAGGCTTTATAGAAGTCATGTCAACAACAAGGGGATACTGTGTTTTATACTGCGTAATAAATTCGTTTCCATAGTAACCGGCTCCATAAACAAACTTCCTACTTCTCAGAGCTTATACAATGTAAGAACTGCACAGTTTCTTTTCAAACGTTTCCCAGATGACAAAACTGAAGCATCAAGAACGAAAAAATCAGTCAAATTCTGTTAAACTTGTGGGTCGATAAGTGTTTTTCCATAGTGCTCATCACTGTTTTTCATCAAGCGTGAAGCAATTGTGAAAGTATGTGAAAGAATGTAAGATAGAAGAACTGCGGAAGCCAAGCGAAGGAGAGAGACTAATTCTGCCAAAGAAACCGGACGGCAGGGGAAGCTACGAGAGCAGGCCTTTGAAGTAAAATGGCACATCTGGTAGGGCTTAATTTCTTTTAAATTTTTCAATTCATCGTTAGATCACAACAAGTGCTAATAATCTTCTTTTTTTCTTGATTGAATTTAAGTTGAAATTGATAAGCGTGATCTCTTGTCACTCTGGTCAAAAACGGGTGGAGGCCGATCATCAAAATTCAACTGCGTTTATGAGAAAGTACTCCAGTGTTATGCCATAAATGTGAATCTTATGCTGGATGTGTCTGCACAAACCCGTGAAAATGATGTGCAACCTTTTTCAAAAGCTCTGGACCAAACATGCTCGTGCTAAAGATAAGGTTGTCAAGTGTCACGCCGAGTATTTCAGTAAGCCATTCACGCTTCTGGAAAACGTTTTAAACTTGCTTCCGTCTACTTCTGAAAATGCGTAAAATGTGTGGCAGGACGGAAGGTTGTTCCTTTCGAAGAATGTTGTGAAACAACGTAGAGGAAGAAAACTGCAGAGGTTCGGAATAGCTACCAGCTTAATGAGCTAGAATTTGCGACACAAATGAAGATGAGATCAGGTGAGAAAGAGGTGAAAGAGGTGAAAGAGGTGGCGGATATCCTGAAAAACGTTTCTCACGCAAGTCCTGCAGATGAAAATAAGTTGGTTCCTTCTTTGAAGAAGTCCTTGAGAAACCCTATACCCGAATACACAGATCTACAAGCTTTGGCTTTGTTAAGCGACACCTACCTATCGAACCTGGTATTACTTGCCAGCTAGTATTTATAAAGTATTGATACATGGATCAGCCGTGATTATACATTTCCTTGTTCCAATCGGTCAACTTTCTGAGGAAGCACAGGAGGCAAGGAACAAGGATTGGAAGAGGTTCATGTATTTAACCAAAATAACAACGAATAAATTAATAAAACTTTTATTTAACAGATACCGAGAGTTAAATACCCTCAAGGAATCAAGATCACTTACAAATCGTGATCTATTGAACTGACTTCTAGTATCATGAGAACCATTGATTACTAGCATTTGTGGACGGCCTAAAAAGCACGAGAAGCCATTGTCGAGCGATGCTAAACAGCTGCCAGCAGAAGAAGCTGAAGGAAACGATAATGATGATATTAATGGTTATGATTATGATAATAATGATGATAATTGAATGAAATAAAAAATATTGACAACAAAAATGCAAAAACCAAACGATCAAAAAGAATTTAATCATGAAAAATATGTGGATATATTGAAGTTGATTATCTTTTTATACTGATTGTATCATAAAACAGAGTAAAGATATGACTTGTTTTGATCACAACTCACCAGCAGACGGTCGTGGACGGACAAGTTTACCACCATTTGAAAGCTATTTTAATGCAGTTTTAAATGATTTTGACCTCATCTGCACTTTTTTGCATCTAAGAAAGATACAAAAGTCCAAAATATGAGGAAAAAAGAAAGAAAATAACTCATCCTATTAAAATGATGCAGGTATAGTATGTTCTAGATAGATGTGTATTTTAGTGTACCAATTAACTTTGTTGAACATAGTGAAGACCTTAAATATGTGTTTTGAATAAAAACGTCCTCAAACAATGCTCTCTATCTCGATTTGAGTGAAATTTACGACTTTTATGTCTTCAACAAAGTAGTTTGTAACCATTTTTGCTACAACTTTGCTCAAGACGTCAACCATTTATCTCGGCATTGTTAAAAAATAAATTTTTCATTTCACTTTTAGGGGGATTAATCACAAAACCCATGCCTTCAAAAGATTAAGCATGTCATACTCATCAACTTTGTTGAAGAGGTCATTACACTAAATCCACTCTCCATGGTGCTATTAATTAAGAGCGTCAAAATGGACTTTTCAACCACTGTGCACCGTGGAGTTTGAGTTTGAATAAATCACCGTTCCTATTATATTATTATTAAATATTCAATGATAAATATTCAAAACAGGATCAAAAAACAGCTGGAAGAAGCAACATAACATCATTTGATTTTCTCTAGTGTATGCTCAACGTTTATATGACGAACATATGGCTTGGTACGTGGTACATCTTCACTACGATGGAAGTGATTCGTATATTTTTTTCTTTATTTTCCGGCTTTGATTCAAATAGCTAAATATATTGATCTAGACTGAATACTTTCAGCCCATCGATAGTGGATAGCGTAGGATCCACATTTTAAAGATTCCCTATTTTCAGCTTTTCTACAGGCTGGAATTGTTGTTTGAACCATTTATCAATTTAATTTATCTGTGTAGTCTCAATTTATTAATTTGAATACTCATTGAAGTTTATTGTCAGTAGTTCAATGATGGAGCATCTTAAGATTTGCATTGTAACATTAGTTTAAATAATTTTAATTTACTTTCAGCTCTTCGGCGATGAAACTCATCACACTTCACATCAAGTTATCCAAGTTTATTTTCTGAACATCTTTGATGGAATATCTTCAGACTTAAATCATGAAAATTATTATATTTCTGTGTTGGGCATCTACCTGTACAAATTGATGTTAATTATTTAAGTTTATTTTCAGCTCACCGATGATAGAACATCTTTAGGGTGTCATGGTACTGACCACATTTTTCAGTTTAAGCTCGGGCTAGTTCTATTGGGGAATAAATGCTTAGGTTTATATTCATATAAATAATATTGGGTTATCTTTACAACTATATCATAATATTTTTTTAGCTTTCGATAAGGCTGGGCCTAGTTAAGTATTTTTCAGCTTTTTTCAACTTTTTTCAGCTCTTCAATATTTTTAGATTGGTAGTGTAACGATTCAATGTTTTTCAGTATTCTTTCAGGTTAATTCAAGAATAGTATAATGCATGATAAGCGATAAAATTTAATGTTATTTTTGATTCACTTTACCTAATTAAGTATATTTTCAGTTTTTTTTCAGCTCTTTTCAACTTTTTTCAGTTCTTCAAAGGAAAAAAATTGATTCATTTTTTCTGCATTCTTCCAGGTTAATCCAAGAATAGTTTGATGATGATAAATCTTCCTAATATTCACAATACAGTTATGACCCGATCCTGTCAGTTTGGCAATGTACGGATAATGACGCCGCCAGAGAGCGACTTTTGAATACCCTTGAGGCCCAAGGAAGACAACCCTATGTTCCTATCAGAGACGTGTTGGGAACTCGCGATATCTGCTATATGCAGTCGGTTTACACACTTAGAAATTATCGACGAAATCTGAACAGCTGAATTTTTCGGAAAAATTTATGCAATTCAATTCAATTACTTTTCAGCTACTTTGAAACTAAATCTCCACTAACATGACAAGATTTGACCATTTAAACAAGGTTGAACATATGTCTTGATATTATTTTCAAATTCAATAGCCTTTAAAATGAAGGTCAAAGTTTTACCGAACGTTCAGCTGTTCTGATTTCGGTAAAATTTACCGAACACGGAAACAAATTCTTAGTGTGTATGTGTTTCTTCGAATGTCTAGTATAAGAATTTAATTCCTTTGTCTTTTGTCTCTCTTTATAAGTTTTTGTTTGTCTTGTCCCTCCATCTCGAAATGAGACAACGAAACCTTGCCCCCAAGCTCCTCTCCTGATCCTATCATTCGACAATGTACCTCTCTAACCTACAGTAAACCGCGAGTATTCGGCCCAACTCCTACTAGACATAGAATTAAGTGAATTTTGTTACAAACAAAGAACAATGAACTATCGGCTCCGTAAAGCTAACGCGATTGAGCCTTCCAAATAAACGAACTAGTTAAAACAAATACTTTCCAGAATTGACGAAGACTATGAAATTAATGACGTGGAAAAATTACTAGTAAAAACTCTTTGAAATTGCCCCTTTGCCTCAAAGCGCAGCGGCAGTAGCAGTCAACCCATGTGTCACCATGTGTTTGGCATTCGATCCACAACAGTAAAAACTTATGTCAAATGTATACCTTTATAAATACTGTTAATAAGTCTTAATTGATCCATTCAAAGCAACAACCAATTCCTCAAACGATTTATCGTCACTGTTTCCTGTTGCGAATTCCCACACACCCCAATGAACCTTATCGAAACCGTCGCTTCATTCTGCGGCTTGCTCGGCCGTGTAACCTTAACCTACAGTGAAGGGCTTGGGTGTTTGTAAACTTTACGCCGGGTGAGCACGCTTGCACTGTCAAAACAAAAATGAATCAGCACCTAATGCAGCAGCCTCTCCCGTTCTGAGTCTATAAAAGTAGGTAGATGCACAGAACTTTTGCTTATAATTAATTCACTTTCTCCGCACCGTGTGTATCGTCTTCGTCGGCGTCGTCGATTTGCTTACAGAAGCATTCAACTTGAGTAGAAGCCAAGTTTATTGCCATTGTTCTCAATGCAATCCAGCGGAGCTGTAGCGTGTTGCTTGCTGATTGCTATCGTTGCAGTTAATGTAAGTTTAAATTCTACCAAATGAGAGGTTAATTGTTGAAGTTTCTGTAGTTAATTTGTACTCGTTTTCTCACTCGTCTCTATCGATTTTTTGTTGTTGTTTAACTGCAGGCATGGCCAATGCAGAAGAAAGTGGAAATTCGCAAACATATTCGCTCGTGTGTGAAGGAAACCGGAGTGCCTGGGAAGAATGCTCTCAGAGTGCTTAAGGGCAATTTCGTCGATGAAAGCTATGAAGTGAAGGTATGATTTTCCTATTCATGACCAATTTGTAGAGCTTTCGATGGTGCTAATTGATATGTTTGCTTTCTATTAGTGTTTCGTCAAGTGCATGTTCAACAGGGTTGGATTCATAAACGATGATAATGAACTGATGAAGGATTTGCTGATAGAGAAAATAAGGCAAAATTTGGAAGAGGAAGAGGCTGACCAGCTGATCGAAAAATGTAACATGACCAATGATGATATCAATGAATTGGCATTTGCAATGTACAGATGCTGTTTTGAAAATATTGAAGTACCAACCGATATTTTAACGAAATAAATTATTTTTGTAAAATGCCGCCTCATATATTTTCAATCATAACTTGACCCACAATACCGATCATCATCACTAGTTTGGATAAATTTCTTCAACAGCCAGTGATTAACAATTCTCAGCAACAACATCGATAGGACAAGTTTGTCTATTCATCACCAGCACTACAGCATTGAAGAACGAATAATGGAATGACGCTGCTACTTTGTAGGAAATTGGAAAATTAATTCAATTTTATTCAATTTGTGAACCGTCACGTCATTTATCATCAGAAACATTTGCCACCGGTTGGTGACTATATGCCCGGCTCAGTCAATGATGCTGGTTGACATCGTTGACATCGATGGGATACTCATTCATAACCACCCACCGTAACGCTGGCCGACCGAACGGGGTGAACCGGATTGAGTTAGGATTGTCGTGTTCCGTTTAATTTACCTTACACTCGGAATAGATTAATTACGTCCTCTGTGCAAGTGTTTCGGTCATAGGGCACGGCTTTGCTACTGATGGGACTACGTCTTCCGTGGCGTGGACATGCTAAAAGCAGATGTCGCCGCCATGTTCGAAACAGTCGTCGCTTTGTACGGTGATGCACAAGAGAACGGACGACGACGGTTGGTACCATTTACACGGTCCAACGTGAAAGTGACACATCTCATCAAGATAGATTGTAAGGCTTGACTGCTCAGTTCATGGTTCTATGTTATCGGAGCCTGTCATGTTTATGCAAAGGTAAGGGCATTCAGCTTTGGGGAGAAGAACTACTCTCTGCACTGTTGGAGTAGCTGTAACAAATGGCAGTTTTAGTTTGCTGGCCCAGGATGTAGACTATCAAAGTTATTTAAATATTTAAATTACCCTGATGAGTTGCCATGCCGTTAATGGGATATGGTTTCTGTCTGGATGTTTGCCATTATCGCTTCAACAGATGCTGCTGACAAAGTACAGGGGATGTTTTAAAATCTTGACTGTTGTATGTGATATGTATGATCGTTGTCAAATTTCACTATTCAGCTTGCCGGATTGATTTCATATAAGTGTGATGAGGACAGTCTACCGCAAAGTATAATAATTGAAACAATTTTTTTTTTCAGTAGCTATTTTAGTGTTTTTAGTTTTTATTATTATTGTTTGATTTTTTTTTTTAATCTACCATTAACTCCCACACACAACGGAACAGACGTTGTGTTACAGATATTCGATTTAGTTGTCATTTTTCTGTAACATGTCAATCTGGAATGTATTGCGTGATCGTTTAGGGTACCAGAATTGAACCAACGTGTCTTATTATCCCTTGCCAAATTGAGTTTCTTCCACTGTGTGTTACTGTCTTCCAGCTGTCGGTCGACACAATTGTCAGCAGCAATTTTCCTTTCGGTGTAGATTACGCGATCACATAACCGATAGAAAGTATTTTCTCGGTGTGCTTTGTTCATTGAAAAGAACAGCAGAAAAGTACAGTCAGGAATCCTTACAGGGTAACAGGGGCATGAATAAGGAACCGCGAATAAGGATACCCACTGCTTGTGGGATTTTTACTAATAGGGGCTGTGGTGGATTATCTCATTTGTTTCAATACATAAAGCTATGCTGTCTTCGACAAAGTTGTTGTACTGGGTTAGACCAACAAGCCTGTGCCATTGGATTCAGGTTTAATTTAAGTTGTTTAAGTTGAATAAGTGATCAAGTTCTTTCGGATGGTGGCCATATTAATTCAAAACTTTCTCACTACGCAGCGCTAGTGTGCATATGAGCTTCCTGTATAAGCTGTATCACAACATCCTGGCCATATAGAAGGTTACTGTCTTGAGTAAAGTTGTTCAGGTGATCATGTCCTTTTGGATGGTGGTCATGTTATTTCAGAGCTCTCACACTACGCGGCGCTAGTGTGCACATGAACTTCCTTAATATGTTATGTCTCGAAAGCTTGTCCATATAATATGTTGCTGGGCAACTTGAGAACAGGAACAGGAAAAGGGATGACGTGCAGAGGCTGGAAATCGATGCCAGACGCGGATAGCCCGGCAATAAGGGATATCGGCAATAGGAAATCCGGCAATAAGGATTCCTGACTGTACAGAGGAAGTAAGCGATGTCCAGAAGCAACAGCAGCCAGTTTTCAAGCATCGTAATGACGCGTATTATAACTACAAATTTGAGACAATAGACTATACAGTCACAGACTGATCCATATACACTGAGACAAATAGACCTAAGAATTTCATAAGGCTCGACTTATGAACAACATATATGAATTTCATAAGCGTGACTTATAAATGATTTTCGGGTAACCATTTCATTTTCCCAAGCGTTGAAAGACGAGTGGTCACCGCACGGGCCTCAACGTCCATTTTCCGGTTCCAGTCTGTTCCAATTATAAATCTTTTTTGTCAACATTATTTTTCATAAGGTACATCAATGAAATTCACACTGGCTAAAATTCATTAGTATTTCATATGGAATTCTTACGTTCTTTTTCAAGCGTGTAATAGTGACTAGCTGGCCCATAATAAGAAAAGAAGCCGATAAAGGACGAAGAAAAGACTGGTGAACTGTCTCAAGCATCATACGACTTCTTCTTCTTCTGCACATTTCAAGCTTATTGCTTATCGCATATTAGTTTTGGTGTGCTCTCAACTTGGTGTTCTAGATGCACTCTTCTACAGTTATTAATTGAGAGCTGTCAATGCCTGTACCATTTTTTCATTAGTATTGGTAAATTGTGAAGTCTAGAAATTTGCCAACCCAAAAAATCCTAGACCGCACCGGGAATCGAACCCAGCCAACTCCAGCATGGTCTTGCTTTGTAGCTGCACCTTTACCGACTGAGCTAAGGGAGGCCCCAATAGCCATCACACGAGGGGTTGTCCCAATGAGTGGAGAGAAAATCTCACCTTCAATTCACACAACTGAAAACGGCCCGCAACAAAACCGAAGTCATGGATCCGAAAACCCACCTAGGTAAGTGTCTTAACAAAGTTCCAGCTCGATATAATCGGAAGAACCCCAAAGTATCGACATCACTCTGTCGTTTCTGATGCCGATCCCTGTATCATCCTCCTCCACAACTGACGACGGAAGAAAAACGAAAATGCGATCGTTTTTTTTTTTCAAACATAAGAAGCATGTTTAAAATAAACATATTTATTTTTGATCGCATAGTTGTCAACCCAAACAAAAATATTTACGTTTTTTTAAACGTTAAACGTAACATTATTTTTATTTTAAACATTAATATCACATGACTTCAAACATGGAATACGTTTGTAATATACCTTGTTTATTTTTGTGGCCAGAACAAATCTTTCTGCGTGTATAAACTCTCTGACCAAAGCGCAGGAAAATAGTTTAAACGCGAAAAATAGTGCTAAATCAGGCTAAAATGTGCAGACTTGCTTGACGATTTAGTGGCGCCACCATGACAAATGCGAGCACATTCCGAACTGAAACCTTATTTGCGAAGAATGTGAAGGTAATTGTGATTGTTATGTCTGTTTGTCTGTGATATTACTTAAGAAACACATATTATATTCCCTTGATAGAATATGAATATGGAAAAGCAGCAACATTTGTACGTCTATGTATGTTTCCGTGGCCTGAAATCAGTATGGGCATTTTTCCCCTCAGTGTTTTCAAAAGACTTTAGGGATTAGTTTGAAGCTTCGGACTTGACCAAATAATCGGTTTTGCAATTATTAAAATTTTTGAAAGGCTAAAAGTATACATTGTTGTGTTACTGAAATCGGAACGATACTGTAATGTCTAGTCAATAATCTAATCGAACAAATAGATGGTATTCATCCCACTGCGTCCTAGCAAGAAGTACGGTCGACTTGTTTCGCGCTCCGTTGTTTTGGAAGTTTTTTCGGTATTCGCTTGATATAATTTATCAGTTTTTTTCTCACTAAGTGACTCCTGGCATAGTTCCCGGTAAATTGATCGAAAAGTGAGTTTTTTTTAGTAGAAAGTGTCATTTTCGGAAAGATTAATCCGTGCTATTGGAAATTCGCAAACAAATTTGGGCATCATCGTTGCGTGGTCACGCATACGCGCTTACGCATACCCGCTCACGTATCATCATCATCGAGTGTGAGCACCCGTTTCTACATCTACATCGTTCATCAATCATCGTGCGCCTGTGTGCGCTGAGTACCGAGCCTCGATCAAGTGCACCACAGCGAAGGTCATCCACGCAGCGCGTCTCTTCCAGCCATCGGTGTAAACGCCTACACATATAACGCTCGGTGGTAGTAGTATAGGATTATCAGATAAGTTTTTGTTTTTTTCTTGTTTCTTTTACTCCCCCATTAGTTAAATTTTCATTTTGTATTTCTGTGTTTGTAGTGTTTTCTGTGTATTGTGTCTGTGCGTTCAGTGGGAGAGCGTTTTGCGCTCCCACTAGTTGAACAAAATGGATGTTTTGTCAGAAGACGACATGGATGACCATTCATCTCAGAAGAATGATGATGTCATCCCTGGTTCGTCGTCTCAGTCTGTCGATGGGCAGGCTGAGAAAAGCACCAGATTGCGGGCCTACCCGAATGACTCGACTGGCCCATGGGTTGTCTATTTTCAGCCCAAAAACAAACCCTTGAATGTTGTTCAGATATCTGATGATCTGACAAAGCGATTCTCTGCCGTGACCGAAATAACGAAGGTTAGGCAGAACAAACTTCGTGTGACCGTCGCTAACCTGAAACAGGCCAATGAAATTGCTGTTTCCCAATTTTTCACTCTGGAATATAGGGTGTACATTCCAGCCTCTGATGTGGAGATCGAAGGCGTGGTCACTGAGGCGAGTCTGAACCCCGAGATACTGGAGAAGCAAGCGGTTGGCCGATTCAAGAACCCCTTGCTTCCTCCGGTAAAGATACTGGCCGTTCATAGAATGAAGTCAGTATCGCTCAGCGAGGGTAAAAAGAGTTTTACCCCCACAGACTCGTTTCGGGTGACCTTTTCTGGATCTGCCCTTCCTCAATACATCGAGCTGGGAAAACTTCGTCTTCCTGTGCGGTTGTTT